TCATCATCATACTCGTCGTCGTCGTCGTCGTCATCATCATCATCATCGCCCACTGCCTCAACGTCTGCCACGCACACCAACAGTACACACAATCCTGACACCAAAAAAACCAACACCACCACCGTCGATACCAGCGGTGAGGACCTGGTCTACGCCTGTCCTCATTGCGACCGCACCTTCACATCACACATCGGCCTGGTCGGCCACTTGCGAGTCCATCTCAGAGAGGTTGGCGAACCAGTACCTGGAGCACCAACCTACACTCGCCGCATCCGCCTCAACTGCACCACTGCACCACTCACCGCATGGGTCTTTTAAGCCACATGGCGTGCATGAAAACCTGCGGTAGACAACCGCCGACTGCGCCACATCATCACATCCTCCCTCACCAGTACTTCATCGCACATCAACATCACCCACCACATGCATCGAATTGAATCCTCTCGCGCAAGTGGGAAGTGTGCGTCTCGACAGGGTCTCCGTACGACTCCTGTTGCATGGATGACTCCAGCCTGGGATTATCCCGGCGCGTCAAGCCCTGCGGATGGGAAGGCTGCTGACTGACGTCCCAACTCAACCGACGCAGTCCGTCCAGTTGTGTGTGCGTTTGTGTGGAGTGGAGGACTAGTGGGCTGAGAGCCGGGCTGAAACGGCTCCTTCCAAACGTGACCACGGCACTCTCACGCATGCGAGATGTACTTCGCTCAACCCCCGTTCTGCAAAATCCTATTGCTTGTGTTTGAGGGGCCAGGTCGTGCAGGTGGCGCGCGCGCACAAGGTCACTAGACTATGTCAGCCACCGCGCCTATTCCCCGCTCCAGTCAACTGACCGGCTCGGACAGTAGCTGGGGCCTGCGAATGGGAGGGGTGAGTGAAATCGACGACTCAGCGCATTTTCCTCACTATAAACAATCCGACGCGCTTGAAGCTATCACTGTGCGCTAGAAGCCGTGGCTTGAAAGGATGCCAACTGACGGGATAACTAGGGCCTCGCGGTCGGCCCAACGTTGTGTGTTTGTGTGGAGTGGTCGGCTGGTGGTCTAAGAGGCAGGCTGCAATGGCTCCTTTATGACACTCCCACTCCGTGGAATCCGAGCCCGGTGTGGCGACACGCCTCAGTGTGGCTTCGGTCGTGCCAGCCTCCATTGTTTTGCCATTGCTGGTTAAAATTCTGATCAAGTGTGTGTTGTGGACCAGAGGCTGTGGTGGCACGCCTAGGTGCGGGCCCGGCCGTGCCAGGCGCCTGCGTCCTCCCCCCACCTCCGGTCTCCTTGACTCTGTCTTAACACGGGATCCAGGTGGGGAATGAGGAAGAGGGAGTGCGGTAGATGCTGCGAAAGTCTACTACCATTTTAAAATAATTTACGCACAAATCACCGTGTCTGCTGCACCTTGCTGTGGAGCACACATTGGACATCGTCGGAGGCGACGGTCGAACTATCAGGACGAAAAAAAACGTCAAGAGACTAAAGGAGGATACAGTCCTAAGAATGTTACTTATTGTCTCATGATGGGAAGAAGAAGTTCTGAGATAATCTGCCCACCCTCCTCGTGACTACGCTGAAGCCAGACAAACTAGTTACCCTTGAGGACTTCACTGGTTGTGTGGGCACAGAGTAAGTTAGGATGCCACGGTTTTCGCCTCTGAAGTGGTAACGGTCTCCTCCTGTTGAAAACTGTACAGAACATAGTCGTCCCCTGCTCGCCAACTCAGTCTTTCACCTTCCAAAGGGCAATCCAAGGCGGATGTACCCGCAGTGGCCCAAGTCCGGACGCATATTGCAACGCGGAGCCTCTCGCGACCACCTAAGTGCGCGCCAATTGCGGTCTGGTTCTCGGCCACTACAGGCTGTCAAAACTGACCAATCATCCTCCAGTCTGGCTCAGATATGATCTCGCTGAAGGCGCTGGACGATTGCTCCACTGTCTCACATTGGCGGACGTCGCTTGAGCGGCGTCGGGCGTGCCCTCGTCCGACTTCCAACTCCCACCAACCTCCTCTCTAATAAATCTATACAGAGTACAGCATCCTCCCAACCTCGGCCAAAGTTCCCCTTTTCCTGTTCGGAATTAGGGCTGATGGTCGTAGTGGCTACAGTCTCCCTATAGCCTCAGCCGCCGCGCTATACCCATGTCCGTGTCTGTGGTAGCTTTTATAATACCTTCTCTCCAGGAGGTGAGTTCACTGGCATGTTTGTTGCACAGGTGATGTATGGTGCATACTTCTGGGCTGACCTTATGCCTTGTCGTCTCGAGGATGAGATTGTAAGTGCAATCCCTTGGCTGGTGTACTCCATGTACGGAAGCACCAAGTTAGCTATTACCCTACTGGATATGGCTGAACCAAGACTAGACCTTAACGACCAAATAAGCATCAGTCCGGATGGCAAAGTTTATTTTGACGACCTTTGGACGCAGTTTGTCCAAATAAGATAATTTTATGGTTTTGGGAGATGTGGAGACAAGAATAAATTCCGTGGGTCTTCAGACATGCCAGTGCAATTCACTTTTGTGGCAATTATCTTGGCACCTCTCTTCTCGGTGCCCTTGACAACATCTTTTCTCGCATTCTTAACCGCCGGAATGTTCACCGGGAACATCGACTGCCTCCGGTGACAGAGTACGCATTCTGGATTCTCTGCGGGACAGTTGCAGGAAGCACGCAGAAAAACTGTCAGTCGAAACGATCTCTGACGCTAATTTCCTGATGGTAATTAGGCGGCTCTATGACGTCCAGACGGCGCTTGATGCGGACAATTACCGCACCGTGAAAACCATTACCGTGACAAATGGGATAAGGCGGGGTTATGTGCTAGTACCAGCCGTCTTCAGCCTGATGTTCTCAAAGTGCCAAACGACCGTAAATCGCCATCAACTTCCAGACCAGGGGGAAATTATTAAACATCCCCTGTCGCACAAAAAATATTCAGTGGCAGGATAAACGACATTTTCTTAACCGTTAACTCAGCAGTGAGCACCACAACTGGAGCGGATATTTTGCCGCTGCTGGGGATACCACTGCCTCCGAAAGTGCTGGTTTCAAACTACATATTAACTTCGTGGGGGGGCTGGAGAGGGGGGGGGGAACGGCCGTCACGCATTAAGCGACGCCAGCCGCAGAGCATACCGAATAACCCCTCCTTGTTTATGACAGTCGTCTCGCCGCTGTGCATCGACTCCCTTGACTTCAAAGCACGGTACTTGACCTATCTCATGAAATCTGATGACAGAAAATGATATGAGGATTTTTGGACGACTTAACCGTTGCTCATTTTGCCCGATCGTCCAGCCTCTTCAGGGAAATGTTCTTTTCTTGCGCAGAAAGTGTGTCCACGTAATTTTATAAAGTAATCTGTTCATACGTTTGGACGAAAATGTACGTTGCGATATATCCGGACAATTTCGCATGCTAATACCTGTCCTAGACTTCCGTGGCGCATCTGAGCATGTTTTTCTTTGAGAGGAGAGTAATTTACTCTCGGGAACCTTACTAAACAGAACATGCCGCACTTGCAAATTGATTTTTTTGTCTGATGTTAACAGTTGGAATAACTTTGCTAACTCACAGGTTGTTTTTAAAGAAAGCAGAGCTTTATTGATTTTAAATGAAGTATTTCTGTGGC